TAAAAACTCCCCAACACCACCAAACCACCACCACAACTCCACTCCGCCACTGCACACACACACACACCACCGAACCCACCATTACCGCAAGAAGATCTCACCACCGCAGCACCTAATCACCAGACGCTCTGATCTCCTCTTCATTACAGCCTTGGCGACGACACACAAACCTGCAACCACCACAGTCGATTAGGTAAGGAGAACCGCCGCCGCCGCCGCCGTCGATCTATGCAGCGTTGCACGCAACGATCTTCGATCTCCTCTTCATTACAACTTCTCTGTGCCTGAGAGTATTCGTCGTCAGGTAATGAAGCACCAGTTATTTGTGATAGAGAGAAGTGAGAGAATATAGAAAGAGAAGGAAGAAGATGGAGAGAGAAAATATAAGGAAAAATGATTAGGGTTTGGAATAATTGGGTAAAGATATTTAATATTTAATTATTATATTGATACCTGAGTTTTGAATAAATAAACTTTACACCTTATTTTTGAAAATCAACTTTTTAAACACCTGATTGGTGTAATTTTCCCAAAAAAAAAAAATGCATATCTACACAAAATAACAACAACAACAACTACAACTACTACTCGTTAATAATAATAATAATAATAATAATAATAATAATAATAATAATATTCATTTCCAAAGTTTTAAGTCGCTTGAAAGTTGAACGCGATTAATCTTAATTAAACCAAAATCGATACTAACATATCATTCATTCTATCCTCAATTTCTTGGAACCATAAAGAATATTTCTTATATGCCAAAGGAAAATAGTAGTGGGATATTCGATCTATCGTAATATGTATTGCTTGAATCTCTATAACCTATCGATTAATTGTTTACGAATTGGATCCTCGTTTTTGTCTATTTGACCATGAAAAATTCTAGGTTCAGTTGAAAAAACTATTATACCTTATATTAATAATAATAATAAAAACATTCTCCCAGTATAGCATCATTTAATGGGAAGTAAAGTCAGATTTGTAGTTGATTTTGATAAAAACTGATGAAATGTGTGGTTAAAAAGTTGTGACTCCTATAAACTATGTGGTTAAAATTAGTTATTTGTTGTAAAATAATAAGATAATTATTGATGATTATTTAGTATTATCATAATATATAAATAAGTTTTATCTAGTTCGAAAAGTTTATTTCATTCAAATTGTAACTCTTATTTCAAACTCAATAAACACGGATCTTGATTCTCAATAAATACACAAGTCTATTGATTTCTTTTTTCTCTTCTCTTTTTGTCACTTTTTATAACACGTTATTGCACGATTTTCTTGGAAGGTAATAATTTAGATAAGTATAATCATCTATTACGTATACCAAAATTAATTAGGTAATACGTAAATTTTTTTATATATATACGTATGCTTCAATTCACATTAATCTTCTTTATGGTTTCAAACATATTCTGCACGTCTCAATCATATTAAACATTAAGCCGTGGAAATAATATATATTGTATGCCTTTTCAAATCATGTATGTGCACATCTTTTTCAATTCTTTCTCTGTACATTTTTCATTTCCCAAGATTCAAATGTTGCATCAATAGTATAATGATTGGAATGGTATAATATATTTTTTTTGAATGGTATAATATCTTGTGTGTCCATCATTATTCCTTATTTAATGTAAAGGTGAGGATAATTATGAATTACCAAATGAAATAGTTAGGAAGGAAAAGACGGGAGAAAAGCTGGAGAGGAATTGAGAAACGAATTTCATTCAATTGAATTGGAAATTACAGTGATATCTCTATATATACCAGAGCAAGAGTATCACGTTTTTGG